GAACTACGTCTGTTTCGGAGGCTGTTTGCTAAGTTTAGCAGATTCCGTTGCAGTGAGACGCACTGTTGTGCTACCATGGCTACGTGAGACCCAATGTGCTACGTGCCTTAAGCCTGCGCGTGGTCTCACAGTGTGCCGACGTTTGCTTGTAGCTTCAGCTGCTTTGTAATGACTACCAATGACTCATCCTGATGTGACTGTCTTCAGAGGTGCTTGTCTTAATTGGAGTTTAATGGCGGCCCATTCTGTGCGGACAGTGAGAAATGATTGGGGAGGGTGGACCTGGGGACGGGTGGGAGGAGGAAGGGAATAATGACAAGGGAGGGAAGCGTGCGGCAGCGCTCTGCTCAGCTGCGCGTCACCGGGCCGACCGTGCCGAAAAGATACTACGTTAGATGGTCAAGATGTAGCGTGCTACAGTAAGACTTGATTCTCGTCAAAGGATACGAATCGAGGAATATGATTAACCCTCGCCCCGTTGGGGGGGGGCCATTTTGGCCCCCCCTCCCCTGTGGTTTTTCCTGATTAGCAAAAAAACGGCGGCGCGCAGCGCCGCCAAATTTTCAGTACCTTCCCGGGCATCAATTTGACACCTTCACACCAAATTTCAAGTCTTAGGTCATCTTAGGTCAGGAGTTATTGAGGTCAAACTGAGGTCATGTTCGAGCAAAAATGAGCAAAAAACATGCAATCTTGAAACGCTCACCAAATCTACAGTTATCAAGCAATTTCAAAGTTCTTTATATGGTCTAGTAAACAAAAAGCGGCGCTACAAAACTGCTATCTCGGATTTTCAAAATTTTGGGTTTTTGATCCCAAAAAATCAAAAATTGATTTTTTTTAGAAAAACTAAAAAAAAATCCAATTTTTTTCCGAATTTCGAAAAAACAGGAAAAACATGTGATAGTCCCTGCGCTCTTCTATATACATACCAAATTTCAGATCGATATCTCGTTTTTTGGTCAAGGTATAGCGAAAAAAACCGTTCAAAAATGATGACGTCAAATTTTGAACTCAATTTTTAGCGATTCTAGACCACGTACGGCACAACAAAGACCACCATTGAACTCCCCGTGACAAGCTGCATCGATTCGATACCCACTTTATGCAAAAATATTAACTTTGAAATTTGACCTAATTTGACCTGACCTTGACCTGACCTTGACCTGACCTTGACCTGACCTTGACCTGACCTTGACCTGACCTTGACCTGACCTTGACCTGACCTTGACCAAAACGTGACCTAAGCTGGCCCCAAAGGCTGCCTGACCCACATAATAGCATATTTCATGTAAAATGGACCATAAAACATGTATCACACGACACTTTCATATTGTGACGTGACCCCCCAGTGAACTGACCTCTGTGACCTGACCTGGTATCAGTGACCTCAAATAGCAAAATATGTGTTTGAAGAACATTTCCCCATCGATGATTTTCAATGAAATGCATTTTACTCGATTTTACAACGCATTGTAGTAGTATGTAGTGTTTTTTTTTTTGTATTTTATGGGCATGACTGCCACTGTAAATGGGCCGCTGGGTCTGTGGTTGGCTTGGCACAATACACAATACACAATACACAATGCATTTCTTGAAATGCCAGTAAACGGTGAAAATTGGACCTTTGACCTGACCTGTGACGTCATCGGTTTGACCTAGGTCAATAAAATTGGGTCACAAGGTAGTTCCCTGATAGGGCTATCCAACACCGTTTGCCGCTTGTCGCTAGGTTGCGTGGTTCTCGAGATCTTAGGGGGGGGGGGTCAAAATGGCCCCCCTTCCAACAGGGCGCTGCTCGGCAGAGCCCAACGGGGCGCGGGTTAAGAAAAGGCGTAAATATTTTAGATTGTTAGCTTTTCACAAGCATTTTGATTTCCATACATCTTTGAAGAAAGGCATTCCTATAACCATTTCGTTTAATTTCAGTTTTAATGAATATTTTTAAGAATCTGCACCTCACAATAAGCAGTTAAAACGCTTCATAATTTTAGTTTATAATAACGGGTGGTCAGTATGAAACTGGACAAAGTTTGAATTGTTACTGTGTCAAAAGTTTTCAAGCGAAAGCAACGAAAATCGCGTTACCGTGCCATTATTTTGTTGTGATCACGCTCGCTCTAATGGATGTGCGACACTGGACCTCTGTCAGCCTTCAAGCGCACGCGCGCTGGCAGCCCCGCTATTGTCTTTCGCGGCACCTCCGGGTCGATTTGACGGATGGCCTGCTGGATTTTCCGCTTCAATTGTGCGTCTCAGCTGACCTGTCACCTTCCCTTATACACTTTCTGTTTGATGAGCCCCCACAGATCCTCAGTGGGCTAAATCTGAGGGGTACATGGCGGGTTCATGTCACGTGCTATTTCGGGCGCCCCAGCCTCCTCAAGAAGTTTCGTGTTCTAGCGCGCGTACTGTGACTGTTGCAAGGTCGGAACCTAACAGAGCATCATGCTCTGTGTTCTGAGACTCAATAAGTGGTATCAGCACGCCATTCAAACACTTTTCATAGCAAAGTTCGCCCGTTACATTGCCTGTGCTCGGCAAGTAACTGGACGCGTGAGCCCCTCGGACTCATGGCAAGCCAGACGGGCATCTCGGGTGGATGCTTGCTCTCAGGTCGAAAGCGAAGGTGTGATCCACATGTGGAATAGTGTCTCCACCAGCTGAGGTGTAAAATTCGGCAATGGAATGCATCTGGCTGCCACTGCAGGTGAAATAAGATTCATCGTCCATATGCACCTCCATGTTTTTGCTACCCTGCATTGGACCCTGTGACAGTCGGCGCTGGCGGGTTTTCTGCGAACGAAATTGTGCCTCCGTCACCTTTATCCTATTTTTTTTTTACCTGATTTCTGCTTGTTGACACATTAATTGGTCATATGTTTTGCAGATTCCAAAATTTCTTCCCAGAGATCACAAGGAGAGCCCCAACTGTTCGGTGACGGCGCCGGTTTGTTTCTTCCGGTGCTGAATGAGCCTTTTCTTGGTGATCTTGCCGTTCCCACCATGCAAAACATCTGCAAGTCCTCAGAATTTATCGATGATCACATATTCTTAAGATCTGGTGACACCCTATGGCGCAATGTGACGCATAATGGTAACATTTTTCTAATTTGTGTTATTTTCACAAACTTGCGCGAACAGGTCCCGGAACGCTTGCTGACTTACCGGCGCAATGTTTTCTACTAGTTAATAGCAGAAAGTTGAAATCTGAGCTGGTAATATAGAATAACTGGAAGTATTCACCTGCCAAAAATAATTACAATCTGTCCATAATTGGAGATGCTATGCTTAATCAAATTTTGTCCAGTTTCATACTGACCACCCGTTATTTGTTACTTGTCTCACTAAAGTTTAATCTAACTGGTGCTCTTATTCTAGCCACACGAGACGGCCTGGCCTTTCGATATCCCAGTCACGTTCTGGTGTCTGGACGCCTGCCCTATTGCCAGCGAGGCCGATCTAATTATACGGACTGTGACAGACACTGCTGAATTGGGGTGTGGCTGGGCTGCCGACCGTGCAGAGGACATTGGCATAGGGTTCTGTACGCGGGTACTTACAAATCAGTGCGAGTGACCAGCCATCGCTGGTGTTTCTCAACTTCAGCCAGTACTCGGTCTGGATTGCAGGAAGCGGGCCGAGTTACGGATAAAGTCAGCCACTTCCAGCGAATTACATCGGCCAGAGAAATCGCGCAGCGCCGCCGTCTGGACCGCCTCGTCGTTCCGCCAGACCACGTTCGTCCGGCTGACATATCTGCGGGCAGACGGCCGGTAGATCCGGGGCAGTGGGCCGGGCCGGCGGCGAAGCCCCCCCCCCCCCCCACCGCGAACCCGCCGGTCCATCAGCCGGCCGTCGAAGGCCCTCCGGAAACCGAGCTGACCCGCAGCTCGTCCCACAGCGCCCAGACGCCCGGCCCGGAGTGGCGCTTTCAGACGGATGCTATTTCGGGAGGCGGCACTGAACGATTCAGTCTGCGTGATAGTGAACTGCCTCCATAACCCGCCACACCACCGATTCCGCTCGCATCTTTTCAGAAAAGTGTTTTTTGATCACTTGGGTGAAGCACCCAGCATAAATTGTACGAATGGCCACAACAAAGTTTTAAGACGTTCCAGGTAATAGCTCTGTAGAAGGGCCGTACTTCTGCGTTTTACAGATCGCCTTTGACCCGTGTTTTCCACTAAGTGGTCCACCAGACCATAGAGATCTTATACACTAGACGTCCCTCAGCGAGCCTCCTTGCCATTCGCCACCCTGGGCCTGTGGGTCTCCGCACTTCATCTGTTGCCTGTTGGTAACACCGAACACATCATTCACTCTCCAGTCCTACACATCATGTGTTGCCGGGCTGTCTCATTCACTGCCCAGCCGTGCACATCAGGTGTCGCCGGGCCGTCTCATTCAATGCCCAGCCGTGCACATCACGCGTCGTTCGGCCGTCTCATTCACTGCCCCGTCCATCTCGGGTATCATCTGCGGCGGGGAGGTCCCATTGACGGTCCTCTCGGCACCGCTGGACGCGTGCCGCCGCCGCGCCCATTCAGAGCCGCCCGGATAGGTGCCAGCCGCCCTGATGAGATTAGTCGGCGCTGAAACGACCGGCCGGTACGCGTCCGGCGGTGACGGCGCGTCGAACGTCGGCAGCGACGCGACAAGGCCGTCGCCGAGTGTCGCGGGTGTGCCGTGGGTGTCCGCCGCCCCCATACCGCTTTACGAGTGTGTAGTGTGTGACTTTCTGGGAATTAGTGGGGTGGCTAGAAACGGGTTATTTTGGAACGAAGGACGCTGACAGAGAGTAAGCAAAACGCATGTGGGTGAAAAGATGAACAGAAAAACTACAAGGGCGCTTTTCGTTGACATAAAAAGAAATATGGAAGTGGAAAACATACCATGGGATTGGGATCACAGCATACTTTGCTCATGCCTGCCATTCGTTGGCCAAATAAATCTATGTCATACTTCAAGAGATCTAACACTTATTTCCTGTGTTTCAGTAATTACAAATCCGAAGCAAATCAACGACAATGTCAAAAGCTTCAACTTCGACTATTCCTACTGGTCGATTGAGGTAAGTGCCTTTTTCAATTGTATTGTCTGTTCTAGTTTTTCCTAGGTTTAGGAACTAACTTGTACTCCTTCCCGTAACAAATGTAACTATTTACACAGTTCATTAATCCGCTGATCTGCATTTATATAGGTATTTCATTAACTGCCACATTACACGACTGGATAAATTGGAAGGAAAACCCTGCATGAACATTTCCCAGACATTATCTCAAATTTATCTGCATGTATGGGTATGAATAGCAGCTTAAGTCGGTCAATGGGTTCAAATGACCGAATAAATCAGTGTGCCGCCGGCGGCCTGGGACCAATGTTCCCGCCGCTCGCTGCACGGCCGTCTCGGCGACTGGATTCCCAGTATGTTACGGCCGGCGGAACTGTCGGCTCATTTAGCTCGTCCCCGAACCGGCGCCGCGTCAGCCAGCCCGCCATCGATCGCTGAATCGGATCTGTCCCGTCACCAGAATCGCCGCCAAAGGCCAGCCGAGGGCGGCACATTGGTTTTGTGACGTCATCCCCGGGGCGGCGGCCGGGCCCCTGCTGGGTCGCGGAGGTCGCGGATATCTCCGCTGACGGGCCGTGATGGCGCTAAATGGACCGGTGACGTCATAGGTGTCCCACAGCCGAGCTCGGTCCCAGAGTTTGCAACCGACACAACGTCCTTATCTGCGATCCATCTTGACAGGTTATTTGGGAGCGGATCCAATCTACATAGTTGAAGGCGTCACAAGTGCAAAAGTTGGCCGTGCCTGGATGTTTGGTAGATAGGTAAGGGCAGGGTCTTGATGATGGGCAATATCACTCATGGAAGTACGATATGCCACTCAATACCAGTTTGAACAGGTATTTAGACAGGCATTTGATATAAGTGACCAACACGCACGACTGTGACTGTTTTGCTCCTCTTTTCAGCCTTCGGCGCCACAGTTTGCGTCACAGGAAAGAGTGTATCAAGATATTGGCGTCGAAATGCTGGATCATGCTTTCCAAGGTATGAAAAAGTCAAAATGGCCACGCAGTTGGCTCAATAGCCACAGGCATCGCGTATGACGTAAGCACACCTAAATAATGCAAGCTGCTTCACTGATTGTTTCAAAAATACTATTGTTGGACGTTGAGCTATATCCCCAGCGTTGCCTTTTCAGAGAAGCCTCAACCCCGCTAAATCCCCCTCCATCCACTCCAACCCCACTCCCTAGCGATTCTGAGCTGTGCCGACTGTCATTTCCGGCCGTCTCGAGAAGCCCTTTCCCCATCCCCGCTCCGCCCCGCACCAGCACGTCATCTCGATGCCGCCCACGACCCGTCGGCGGCCGAGGTGACGCTCCTCAGCCCCAAATTCCCTGCTGTGCTTGTGAGGCCTGCGCGCTGTTGTCACGAATCTACCGAGAACAATGTGTAAAGATATTTGACAACAGTCGCATATGGAAGACGTGTTTTATTGACGCCCACATATAGTTAGATATCGGTCTGTCAATACTCGTAGTATCCAATATTGGTTTGATTTTGCTACGATTTCGAACTTCTAAGCTGAGACTGAAACATCATCACAAACATTTCAGCCTGCAAAACGTATTACCCATTGGCGGGAATCCCAGAATGAAGACTGCGTGGGCTGGAAGTAAACGAAATAAACCGCCGCCTTTGAAGCCATTTCACTAACTCGCGCTGGAAATGGCGTCTATATCTGCTCTGGCTTTGTGCGGCGCTGCGCCGAGGCCGCTGGATTCTGGGCATGTCTTCCATTGGGCATTCCGCGGTGGTTCCCGCGGACAGACCGGGACGCCAGAGCCGGCCGTATTAGGTCCCCGGACAAACAGCCGCGGGCCGGGGCGGCTGTCACGGGCCGGGTGATATCGCGCGCTCCTCTCACCGCCTGCCGCAGCTGCTGATCAGCATGCAGAGCCAGGTGGGCAAGGTTCTGGGCCGGTGGGCTCGCAAAGTGGCAGATGAATGCATGAAACAGCGCCAGCAACGAAATTAAGGGACTTAACCCGCGCACCGACGGGGGTCTGCGCCAACTTCGTACCGACGGGGGGGGGGGGCGGATGACCGCCCCCCCCCTGAGATCTCGAGAACGAAGCAAGATAGCGACAAGCGGTAAACGGCATCGGATACGCACGGCCAAGATCTACAATTTTTACTAAGGTCATTTTCAGGTCAGGTCAAAGATGACGTCACAGGGGTCGAAAAAGTCAAAATGGCGGCGCTAGATATGGAGAGAGTTTTTCTCGAATAACTTTCGATTTAGTCAAGATAGGAACAAACTAAGGGCATCATCGTGATCCTCTCGTCAATCCGCATCGAATGATCTATATGTTGACCTCGAAAGGTCAAGGTCAAAGGTTGACCTCAGGTCACGTGACCTCGAGGTCATCATGTATATCATTCGATGCGTCTTGACGAGCTGAACACAATGAGACCATCCACGCGTCTGTATCTTGTTCCTGTACGGAGTTATTGGCCAAAAACCTTTGGTGACCTTTGATGACGTCACATGACCTCACAGCTGCCCAACAGCAAAACAGACCTCAAGGTAGTGAAGGTTGATCGTATATGAAGTCATGTATGGTATATGGGGCCATTCCGACCCGTTTTAGTGGTAAAAACAGGGAGTTGATTTTTCCCCCATTGACTTATAATGGGGAGGTCGCGAAATTGACCTGACCTTAGGTCACCGATATCAAAATTCCGAGATATACAAATTGTAGCTACTAATAACCTTATAATATCCTGCGAGTTTCAAAGGCCTCCGACATCCACTGTAGCTCTGGCACGGTGACAAAGTTGCAAAAAAGTGACTTGAGGTTGGGTCATTCAAAGTGACCTGGTGACCTGACCTTAAAAGGTAGGAGGTTCAAACTTGCACACCATGTGTAAAATTGATGAGGTTATAGTCATACCAAATTTCGCGGCGCTACGCGCCGCGGTTTTCCCGCTATTCGCGAAAAACCTCAGGGGGGGCGGATATCCGCCCCCCCCCGTCGGTGCGCGGGTTAATTTTCACATACTTAGTTGCACGAAGACCAAAATCTTAAAGGAAATAGTTCACTTTCACGAAATTATTTTTTTTGCAATGGATTTATGATTTTTTATGTTCAAAATGATCAGCAAAGAAAATAAAACCTATTTATAACAAAATATTATTTTCTATATTTTGATAATAAGAAGAACTTTTCAGTTTCTGTAAGGCACTGCCGATCCAGTATGAAAAGAGCATGGGTCCCGAAAATTCTTCAGAAACTAGAGAAATGATCGCGGCCACCGGCATTTGGGCGATCTGCTGCTGCTGAATGTCCTTATTGATCAGTACGAGCATTTCTCTTGAGTTCTCGTAGATAATTTCTCTAGTTTCTGAAGAATTTTCGGTACCCATGCTCTTTTCATACTGGATGCGAATATATGCAAGGCACACATCCTCAACGCAAGACACCTTTTTCGGGACGAGAAATAGAATATCTTTGCCTAGGGTGATCGTTGGGCTGTAAAAGCTCCTGATTTATGCTCGTCTCAGCCCAGGCTACGGAACTGCTATTCCAGTTCAAAACCCATGTTAAAAAGTGAACTATTTCCTTTAAGTTTAATGACGAATTTGAAACAGTTGTAAAGCACGTGCTTCCTGATCGAAGAACATCGTATATTGTTTGGTTACTACACCTTTTTGCAATTGAATTCAACCATTGGCCATAACTGTTTGAGGAGCCATTTCAACAATCGGCATTGAGCACAACTATTCCGGCGTCGTGTGTTTCATTTCAGCTATTCGACAAAACAGATTGAACACTGAAATGAGCGATCTGCAAAACAGTTTGACACTTCGCCATGACTTCGGCAATGAGCAAAACTCCTCGGCATTTGGTGATATCACTTCAGCAATGTTCGAAACAGAATAAATGGATATCCAGGCTGTTTTTCAAATGGATTTAACACGCCTCGATCATTCACCACTTGAGCGTGAACATTATGGACATTTCTAAGCAATAAGTCAGCCGTTCCTTATAGCTTCTTTCTAAATGGAACAGTACGGTAATTGTCAGTCAAGCAACGCAATACGTTTATCTTACCGGTGAGCAATGCCAATCAATGCCGCTGACATTTTTTGTTTAAAATTACCTTTGACGTCATTTAGTCAACAAGAAAAAGCAATGTGCTCCCTTTGGGTTTTCTTTTTTGCTTGCAATGTTTTGCTTGCAATGCTACACATACAGCTGAATTCAATATGTGAAATGCATGCATTAAAGTCATTTCCGTCAATGCAATATACCATTCCAACCTAGCACGCCTACGTTGGTCGGTGGGCACTTTATTACATTAAAAAAAATAATAATTCGCTTATTCAAAGACAAGATCTTTATTGGCACATCGAATTAACAAACTGTCCTCACGGCAGAAGCTGACGAACACCATGCACATCTGCCATGACGGTCGCCTTGGTATCCTGGAACTCCCTCATGAGGGCAAGGTTTCGCCAATTTATGAGGCCTATCTCATTTCGAGCCCTAGGGCAATACCGTTCACCTGACTTAGAATGAGCGCAAGGTGTTGTTTATCTATTTGATGTGGGACCTATGCGCACAAAGAAACATGGTGAGCTCCCGGACTCAGCCGAACGTATATGCTGGGTGTGCCGGCTGAGGTCGGTCTCGTCCAGTGAACATTTACTGGCCGCCCGGATGTCCGTCAAGATAGCCCATATTCAGCCCAGATTCAGCCCGGATTCAGCCCAGATTCGGGACACCTCCGAACAAGCTGAAACTCGCACACAATGTAGGCCATGACATGCCCAATCCACAGTCCACGTCATTCGGTGGCACTCCTAGCCGTGTGACCTACAGAGGTCAGCAAAGGTCACGTGGCCCAAATTTGCACAGCAGATTGTGGCACACCCAGTAGAGCTAGAGCGCTAAAAATGGCACCAATCGACTCGCCAGCATCTAATCTTACTTTCCCAACACTCATTTGACCTCTCAAGGTCATGCGATGACCTAAGGTCATTTGTGGGCTATGTCGAAAATACACTTGCACAGCAGTTTTCGAGTAGAGGGATTGACCGAATTCCAAATCAAAGCACATCATCGGGTAGCCCAAAAGCCGTAGTAACTTTGCTTCAAAACTGCTTTTCGATATGTGACCCCATTTGACCTCGGTAGGTCAAAATGTGCAAATAAACGACACTCAATACGTCGCAGCCCGGATTCAGCACAGATTCGGGACACCTCTGATCAAGCTGAAACTCGCACACAATGTAGGCCATGACATTTCCAATCCACAGTCTAAGTCATTCGGTGGAACTCCTAGCCGTTTGACCTACAGAGGTCAGCAAAAGTCACGTGGCCCAAAGTTGCACAGCAGATTGTGGCCCACCCAGTAGAGCTAGAGCGCTAAAAATGGCACCAATCGACTCGCCAGCATCTAATCTTACTTTGCCAACACTCATTTGACCTCTAAAGGTCATGCGATGACCTAAGGTCATTTGTGGGCTATGACGAATATACATTTGCACAGCAGTTTTCGAGTAGAGGGATTGACCGAATTCCAAATCAAAGCACATCATCGGGTAGCCCATAGGCCGTAGTAACTCTCCTTAAAAACCACTTTTCGATATGTGACCCCGTTTGACCTCGGTAGGTCAAAATGTGCTAATAAAAGACACTCGGGCTGCGACGTATGGAGTGTCGTTTATTTGCACATTTTGACCTACCGACGTCAAACGGGGTCACATATCGAAAAGCGGTTTTTAAGGAAAGTTACTACGGCCTATGGGCTACCCGATGATGTGCTTTGATTTGGAATTCGGTCAATCCCTCTACTCGAAAACTGCTGTGCAAGTTTATTTTCGACATAGCCGACAAATGACCTTAGGTCATCGCATGACCTTGAGAGGTCAAATGAGTGATGGGAAAGTAAGATTAGATGCTGGCGAGTCGATTGGTGCCTTTTTAGCGCTCTAACTCTACTGGGTGGGCCACAATCTGCTGTGCAAATTTGGGCCACGTGACCTTTGCTGACCTCTGTAGGTCAAACGGCTGGGAGTGCCACCGAATGACTTGGACTGTGGATTGGGCATGTCATGGCCTACATTGTGTGCGAGTTTCAGCTTGATCGGAGGTGTCCCGAATCTGGGCTGAATCCGGGCTGCGACGTATGGAGTGTCGTTTATTTGCGCATTTTGACCTCCCGAGGTCAAACGGGGTCACATATCGAAAAGCAGTTTTTAAGGAAAATTACTACGGCCTATGGGCTACCCGATGATGTGCTTTGATTTGGAATTCGGTCAATCCCTCTACTCGAAAACTGCTGTGCAAGTGTATTTTCGACATAGCCCACAAATGACCTTAGGTCATCGCATGACCTTGAGAGGTCAAATGAGTGTTGGGAAAGTAAGATTAGATGCTGGCGAGTCGATTGGTGCCTTTTTTAGCGCTCTAACTCTACTGGGTGGGCCACAATCTGCTGTGCAAATTTGGGCCATGTGACCTTTGCTGACCTCTGTAGGTCAAACGGCTGGGAGTGCAACCGAATGACTCGGACTGTGGATTGGGCATGTCATGGCCTACATTGTGTGCGAGTTTCAGCTTGATTGGAGGTGTCCCGAATCTGGGCTGAATCCGGGCTGCGACGTATGGAGTGTCGTTTATTTGCGCATTTTGACCTGCCGAGGTCAAACGGGGTCACATATCGAAAAGCGGTTTTTAAGGAAAGTTACTACGGCCTATGGGCTACCCGATGATGTGCTTTGATTTGGAATTCGATCAATCCCTCTACTCGAAAACTGCTGTGCAAGTGTATTTTCGACATAGCCCACAAATGACCTTAGGTCATCGCATGACCTTGATAGGTCAAATGAGTGCTGGGAAAGTAAGATTAGATGCTGGCGAGTCGATTGGTGCCATTTTTAGCGCTCTAGCTCTACTGGGTGGGCCACAATCTGCTGTGCAAATTTGGGCCACGTGACCTTTGCTGACCTCTGTAGGTCAAACGGCTGGGAGTGCCACCGAATGACTTGGACTGTGGATTGGTCATGTCATGCCCTACATTGTGTGCGAGTTTCAGCTTGATCGGAGGTGTCCCGAATCTGGGCTGAATCCGGGCTGAATCTGGGCTGAATATGGGCTGTCTTGACGGACATGCCGCCCGGTGTGCTTGTTCCATCATCCACTCGGTTATATGAAGGAAATGTCAAGGATTGGGCCCCATGAGCTGCTCCATACCCCCCTGCGGCCGCCAGTGCACGCGATCATTTGTTTCGATCATTGCTGATCTGTTTTTCTGAATGCTGAAATTTCCATAGACGGTTTTGGCCAATCATGAATTCCCGGCTGCTCACTGACGAATAGTTTCGACCATTGACGATTTGTTTTGCACAATGTCAGGGCCTCGGCTAAGGAATTTTGACTGGTGGGCCACTTGGGCAGCGACATGGACTGACCTTCGTAGCCATAGCCTCCCCCCCCCATTTTCGATTCCTCCCCAGATTTCGGCCACTTTATTCTGCAAAAAACGTCAGGATGGCATTAAAAAATGTAAAAAAAAACGGGGCTCGACCCCCCCCCCCGACTCTTCAGAGAGAGAAGAGAGAGTAGGGACCCACAACCCTCTCAGTGGTGATACTCCGGCGGTGCACATAAAATCGCACAAGTATGCACAAAATATTGACGCAGATTATAAAACTTTGGACGATAACTTACGGCCGGTCGGATGTTAAAAATCAGCGAGCCCTGAATGGATCGCTCGCCGACTAGTCGGAGATTCGGAAGCGGTCGGACGGGATCGGGCGTTGTCGGGTGGATCGGGAGGAATTGTGAACAGCACGAGTGCAACTTTATATATAAAGTGGGTTGTAGCAGGAACCCCAAAAGGGGGTTGTAGCAGCAACCCCAACATCTCTGAAAATGATCATTTAGCCTATTGGTGTCGCATGGAAAAGAATTCACTCAAAAGCCCAAGCGCACTGCGCAACCCTAATATTTTCTTTAAAAAAACTAAGTTATGTACACTTCTGGTGAACAGTGTCCCAAACTTCAGATTTCTCTTGGGTGTCTGAGTGGAAAATTCTAGCCACCCAAAATGTGAGAGTGGAAAATTATCCATTCTTATTCTTGAGTGTCAGCTTCAGCCCAAATGAGAAATTTTTGGAACGCTGACTGTGAACGGTTCGAAATTCGTCCAACTGGTCAGATGTGCGACTGCAAGCATCATACCGTTCGTGAAGACGCATAATATCGCTTGCAGACTTCAATCGGCTGGAAGTTGCCGACACTACCTCTAGTTTGACTCTGGCTTATATCGTGTCTATCGGCGAGCCGTCTGAGATCGCTCGCAGGCTTATCCCCGACCGTCTGAACTGGTCTGTTCTTTATTCGTAGTTTTCTTGTAACCGACTGGTCTGCGGCAGATGCTTATGTGACTGTAACCACTCGATCGATCGGAAAGCTTGCAAGAACTCTCGCAGACCTCGATCGGCTGGAAGCCGCCGACACTATCTGTAATTGACAGAGGCAAACGTCTTTCACGATTATTGCATAAAATTTAAAGCCTCGGTCACACTTAAACGGATTGGACCAACGGACGAGAAACGGACGAGAATTGTCAGCGTCCGGTGATGTCCGTTTGTTTCCGTTGGACGTCCGTTTGTCATCCGTTAATATCCGTTCCATGTCCGGTGGTGTCCGGTTGAGCACACCGGACACCACCGGACATGGAACAGATATTAACGGATGAGAAACGGACGTCCAACGAACGGACATCCCCGGACATCACCGGACGCCGTCCGTTTCTCGTCCATTGGTCCAATCCGGTGAAGTGTGACCGGGGCTTAACCTACGGCTGTCTCAAGAAACCGGGAATGGTGATGGTATTAGGCGGGCAACGACGATCAAGTTCTTACTTTTAATAAATGCAACAATGTAGTAGGGCCTCTGTCTCTGTCTGTATCACAATGTTTATTGTTTACCTATGTCGTGATGTAAAATGTGAAAACTTCGATTTTTCAGAAAATTACTGGTGGGCCAAATCTTTGAGGCTGGTGGGCCATTTCGGGTCACTGGTGGGCCATTTGGCCCACCAGTTAACATGTTAGCCGAGGCCCTGCACAATGTTGAACCATTCGATCAATGTCGAGTTGTAGAGGAGGACCGCCGAACAGTTTTGCACAATGGTGATTCTTTGTGACCAACCGTCCATTTGTAGCGCCATCTATATGGCGAATGTGTACAAATGTTTTGTCCAATGGTCAAAAGCTAACGCAAAAAGGTGTACTAAGCATCAGCTTTTATATAACTTCTATCTTTCTATGGATAACTGGATATGGCAGCCAGTCACCAGACCAGCTTTACCTCAGTGACTTGGAGCACTGACCTTCCAGTGGTCCTCCCGCTCTGTGAGCAGCCTCTGAAGAGGCCATTTCTACCTTAGCAGACACCCTTTTGCCTTCCCATCCCTTGCTGACCTCGGCAAGCCTCCCATCTGCCCTCGCTCCCGGTGATCCCGGTTAACTGTCTGGCCGTATCCGTGACAATCTGATAGCCTTGTCGCCCTTCCCGTGACCGAGCTGACCTTCCTGGCGGCGGAGGACCGCTCTCCGTGACCGCGGCTATCTCCGCGCGGACTATCGACCCGGTGCGGAGGGCTCCCGGGGCCGGCCACTGCCGCCCACACACCGGCGCCTGGCCGCTGATAAACACTGAGAGCCCGCGGCACAGGGCCGAGCTGCCCGCCGAGCCGTGCCGGAGGGATGTCGGGGCGGATCGACAGAAAACAAATCTGCCCCAGAGCCACTCCAGCTGTCTGTTTGAATGCGATTGGGTTTGACTAGCGCGTTGAGTGTCTCCAAAGAATCTCCGCAGACGCATACGTGTTTTGTGAAACATCCCTATCTACAGGTAATAATAATACCTACTTCGGTATCCATTCATATACGTGATGTCTTGAGAGACATGCCAACTGTTGCATTAGCATTCCTAATTAACAGCGTTATCCATTCCCGGGCTCCCAATGCGACAATAATCACATTTCCGCTCACTTCCTTCGCCGCCATAATTGCATTTCCCACGCAGGACAGACAACAACACCCACTTCGTCTCTCTCCATCACGCTCTGTTTCCCCGTTCGCGTGCAGGCTACAACGTCTGCATCTTCGCCTACGGCCAGACGGGCGCCGGCAAGTCCTACACGATGATGGGGAAGACGGAGAGGGACCAGGAGGGCATCATTCCGCGGATCTGCCGCAACCTTTTCCAGCGCGTCTCCAACAGCTGCGAGCCGGAGGAGACCGTCTCGGTGGAGGTGAGGGAGGCCCGAGACTGTCTCTGTGGAGGTGAGGGAGGCCCGAGACTGTCTCTGTGGAGGTGAGGGAGGCCCGAGACTGTCTCTGTGGAGGTGATGCCCCTTGCACGAGGCTAGGCAGCACCGATGTCGTAATCTCTCGACGACGATTTACAGCGATAATGTATAAAAGCCGTTTTCACGACGGCCATCTGGTACACATCTGGTGCACATTTGGTGCAGATTAGGCGCAGATTTGGTCAAATTAGGTTCAGTGTGTCTCTTAGTAGCTATCAGCTAGGGTTGCACTAATTGCTTATGTTACAGCTTCCAGCTGTTACATTTTCTCGAATGTGAGGATGCCCCCCTGGGGGTCCGGAAGCGGTGGGGAGTATGTTTTCAAAAAAATTATTGTTTAATAAAATTTCTTTCATCGGGGGTGTTTTTCTTTCCGAGATGGTTGCCGACCTGCGCCGTGCTCTGGAACAACCTCAGGTGAGTGTTTTCGGCTGGTAGATCCTCAAATGGTTGATTAATGAGTTGATTTTCTTGCTGTTTGATTTCTCTCTTGTTCAAACGTAATTACACACCCATTTCCAATTGCTGATCGGTCCGTTGGTTTCAAGCTGACCGATTCCTTTCCGCCACCGTTCCTTGCGCCTGGGGCTCGTCACAAACAATATTTATAATGAGGCTGGCTTGTCGCTTGTCAACATATAGTCTTCACTGCCTAGGATGGCATCTGTCTCAGAAGGAATTTAGGACACGGATGTCTCCCCAAAGCATATGATTTTGATGCCTCCCTTGAGGACATAACCTGAAGCCACCATCTGATACCTGATAGCTACCCACCATTCTCTCCCTTTCTAATGCCTATCATCCCAAAGATAATCGAGTACATCCCCATTTAATGTCGCCCTCAATGCTGAGATTAGATCTCCCGCTGGTCCTTACACTATATGACGCATACCTCAATCTCCCTCAGACTCACTCTCTTTGGCATACCTCTCTCAACCCTCTACAATAAATTTGATCCCGCGTCGACCCCTCAGTCCCTCCCAGCAATTGTTCTAACTCCCTCCAGCGGTACATATCAGGGACAGTAAACGCAATTTGTTCAATAGACTCCGTGATTAGTGTAAATTTCATCTAAGCTTACTCTTACCTCCCAACGACTTATCGCGCCCCATTCCAACATTGGAATTGTGTGTGCTCTTCCTAGCACCTCTTGGGCTCCCTGGCCCAATATCCTCGAACACCTACATCACTTGACCCTGATTACTTGTCTTAAGGTGCAACGCAGGTAGCGATTACATTATTAGCGTTCGTCGATGGGTGTGATTGGTTCAATCAAGCTCTGCCGGCCCACTCTCTTCGAACACCTACATCATTTGACCCCGATTACTTGTCTAAAGATCGACGCGGGTAGCGTCAGTTATTAGCGTTCCTCGGTGGCTTATGATTGGTCCGTCAACCTCTGCCGCTCACGGCACATCTCTGTTTCCCTACTAAAATCCCGCGGCCGGACGTTGGTTACTGACCCTTGCAGCCCTTCTGTGAGAGACCGTCTTACGCGTTTTCACCTAACGAACCGGTGGACACAAGCCTGCTACCCCGGCGACCGCAGTCTCACTGGGCTCATAGACAGGTACCTACTCAGTACTCTCATGCAGTCATGGCACCCGCAAGTGGCGCCTTCGGATCATTGACCGGTGTGATTCGAAAGACTCCATGACTGAATCTATCCTGCAATTTTATCCGACGCCGTGGAATTCTGTCCTGCAGATGTGTGTTCAAGCGCGTTAGCGTCATGAGTGATGCATGCTGCGATCCTTCCGACGGTGGACTTAATTCACTTACCTCATCCCGGCGGTATTCTCCTCGCCTTATCCTCTATCATTTTCGTATTTGTCACTCACCTTCGGCAGTGTGCTCCCTCGTCCTGTCTCTCTCTCTCTGACTCACCTCTCAGCTTGGGCGTCTTATGGCGTTCCTTGTTCTGATATCTGCCTAACATATTTACTTACTTCCTCCGTAACGTGAGACAGTTCCAATCCTAGTAGACTTAGACGTATCAGCAGAGTCAAAAACACATGAAAGTGCTGCAACATACCTCCTCTTCGGCTAGCATCCATCCTTAGATCTCTCCTCCTTGTGTAATTCCGGTTTCAATATCTATCGACCACTTCAGAGTCACTCCTTCTGTATCTCCTTACCTGTCTGATCCGTAGAATCCCTTCAGTCCATGTGCGCACCGCTGCGCGGTACGAGTCAATTGTTTCCCTCGACATGAACAAAAAAAAAAAAAAAAACATTGGATAGAGAAATCTGCGTCGCCAAATACTCAGACCATCTACTACTCCTTTCATCTACACGATATTAACGCCTATCAGCCGAAACGTCTACCGTGGCTTGCTATATTCACTCAGTGACGTCATATTTCTAGGAGATTGCCAGTTTCATACTTGTTGATCGGTAATGACGTCATAAGATCCTGTCGCCTGCGGGTTAGTACATCCTGACTTCTCATCGTTCAACCTTGGAGACGCTAACTTTGATCGGAATTTCAACTCGACCAAGGCCCTATATAGAAGGTATGCTCATTAGGCCGAAGCAGCAATTTCCGTGACGTCACTGGTACGAAGGGTCGGACGGCTGTAATGCAATCCTATGGAAAATGACCCAACTTTAGGGCTCTCCCACATAGCTGCCAACCTCGAGACTAAGGTAAAAGTTATATCACATAAAAGCTCAAATCAAGACGAACAAGAAACCTATCTAACGTTTTTTACGTATTACTAACGGCTTAGACTCTATTCAAGTATATTCAGAGCTCTGCATTACCTCACTTTTTTTGCCGTCAATGCCACTACAAATGTCTAGTCGGCGCACGTGCGCTTGTCGAGCGGAGACCACCAGTCGGGCGATTCAGAGCTGCCGCCCAATCAGAACGCCGCAATGCCGTGACGTCATTGGTCGCACACGACACGTTACGGAGATAGGGATGAGACAGCCCTGCAACTCGACTATTCTGAGTGTTGCCTGTGATTTAATGAAGTAATTCTTGGTAGTGCCCAACCATTTGTGATCATGAATATTTTTTTTATGTGGATTGTTGTCTGGCGTCCCTCGCCACGTTGTCGCAAATTTCTCTGGGGTCGTAAGTACCTGTTTGCATCAAGGGAACTCTAAGGTAGTGTGCCGGATTAGTCTCAATTTGGCATTTCTATTTAAAAACAATCCAACTCATGTGATTTCATGTTATCTTACTGAACCGATTTATGAGAGTCAATTTTATAATGCAGATTTTTATTGACATACTCGACCAGATGATTTATTTAACTTGCAATTGACAATCGACTGGTGGTGTTCTAATTTAAGGAAGCTCGGTTTACCGATTGCTATGTTGTTGAAGGTATACAAATTTTGGCAAATGTGATATCCAATTATTCGAGTGGGAACATCAACATTGAGAAATGGTTATATCAAATCAAGGGGAGGAGCAGTAAATTACAATAAGCTAATGGGGAACTGACCATTGGAGAATGATGCTAATTTTTAAACTAAATTGATGGCTCGGCAAAGACTGGTGTAATCAATAGTACGCTCATTGCCATTTCTCCATTGTTAATGGTGATTTGATTTATTTACCTAGTGGGTACTTTTGCTGGCAAACCTGCTATTATAATTTCAGTCACGGTAGCTGTCCAGGATAGAGGACAATCCGATAGACAGCCCTTCGTTGTATCTGTTCCGCCACCTGACAAAGTTTGTCATGTTCAATGATGCCTTATAAATTTCAATTCCAGGATATCCCTTTTAAGTGAAACCACACTGATCCGAAACTGTGGTGCTAGCATCCGAGGCCAGATATGAGATCAGTTGTGACTTGTGACTGAGAGGTCAATGGTCATTAGCATTGAAATTCCATGTTCAATAGATCATGTCAATAGAAACGGATGAAACAACCTTGGATGCGACTGGGAATAGTCTGACTTGGATTGTTGCATGTTACTGATTTATCATCTGAATTCATTAGTTTCAGCGTATCCCTCCAAAACTTTGTAAGTACAGTTGTCAGTAGCTTTCACACCACGCATGACATGAGATGAATGTCCTCCTAGGCTTGGGGTGGCAATGTCAAAGTTTTAGTGATGCGCGCTCAATCATAACAATTAATTCTCCGTTCCTGCTTTTAGCCTATAATTGTCTGCTAATCTGAGTCGGTAGCATGCCTCGCGATGTACAGTTTGGTTTCGACTGACAAAGGTAACCAGCTTCTCCCAGAATTAGACCGTAGAGTTGTTCACCAAGATTTACTCAATTTTGATCATATGTGACTGCTGTCTATTTCTCCCCCTTTTGACCACCCGCAAATTTGTCCGTCTTTTCTACTGAGGTCAGCATGGGTCAATCGTTGCAAGAAGGGTGCGTTCAGCTGTCTTAACAGATAATTTCTTTCTCTCAGCAGGTCCATATTGGTGCATTGCTCGCGGTGCGGCTGAGGGCTTGCTGGGCCAGCGCTCTCCAATCCGATGGGGACCGGATGGCGGATAGCATTCGTGAGATTCAACTGTCCTTGCCGTTTGCCTTAGCTGGGTTGAATTAGCATGACGGTCACTTTTTGCCTGCTGGTTAAATGAGTTATCACGCCTTACTTGCAAGGTTTCGACAAATTGAACGTATTCCAATGCAATGAGCACTAAATGTTATTTAGATCATTTGAGAATGTGCCCTGTGATCAAAAGCTATCTTATGAAGTTTAGATGTTGAAACGAAGCTGAAACTCAGACCCTTGGCTTGTTGTTGGTCTGAGTCCTTTAAACAAAAGATATATCATCGAATCTATACGATATCTGTAATTTAAGCCAACGCAGAGAGTTAGGTGATAACCATTTTTAAAATGCTTGTAATTATGAGCTTAGCGGTGACATGACCTTGTTCCACACCTGACCGGCGACCATTCTCGACTCATCGACTCATCGAGCGTCGACTCATCGACGCTTTTGGCGCCGCCTAGT